ACTCCAATCCTTCCAATATGTTGATGAATTCTCCATGGGCTTCTTCGTAGAATTCAAAAGTTCTTTGGCTCGCTTTGCTCATTCTGTAGTATTCTGTTGTGCTGATGATGGGAGGCTGGTGGCGGTATTCCCTCGTTTCAACGTTGGCGGGAACCCAAACTGGTGCTGACTCAACCTCTAATGGAATGTATGACTTGGCGTCCATCGGGACATACGGCTCAGTACTCCATGGGACATATGCTTCTGTACCCGTTGGGACATCTGCTCTTTCCATTTGACGATCAACGATCTGAGGTCTATCCTCATTAGATGTGTATTCTTTCAAGGTGCTGTACTACTCCAAGTGTAGGACATTGCAGTCCGGACACTCGACGAAGGCTCCAGTAGTTGATGCCTGTGCGGGTATTTCAACATTGCAGGTAGGGCAACCTGCGCAGAGAGCATCCAAAGCTGGCGGTATTTTTGGTGCTTGATTAAATCTGGACTCATCATCTGTAGTGGGCAGGCTAGAAGAAGTTTTTTTCATACCTGACCCATAAATATGCCCCTCAGGAATATGGGTGAGCAGGTTTTCTGTCTCCTGTTGGCGTTGTCTCTCCTATCGTAGGAGAGCCCTGTGCTTGGGTCGGCTAGCGTTTCTACGCATCATCCTTCACAGCGGCGCATCCGACATTCTTTCTTCGTTGGCGGTGACTAGACCTCAGGCTGGCGTAGCTATCATGGAGGGCAGGAGGTTGGTCCCCTCCATCGGATCCTGTTTCATCATCACCTCTTTCCTTTTTAGTGAGGCATTATTTCTAGTGCTGAACCTGAGTAGTGAAGGTAGCCCCTCCTTTTCCTGTGGGCCGACATCCATCAGAGGACCATAGTAATCCATGTCAACTTCGTTAAATTCCATGTTGAAATCAATAGTGCCGCCCTGAGGCGCCATCTCCTCGTTGAGTGCGAGGTTCCAGCCATTATTAAAGGCGAAGATCAGCCTCTGACCTGACATTTTTCTGCAGACGATAGGAAAAACATCAGTGTGCTGAAACTTAGCATGAACAAAAACAAAGCAAAGTTTTTATTAGAGAAAACTTTAGTTTATTTCGGTGAGTTCATTTATTTATATTTTGTTTTATTTAGCAAAATATCGAACTTAAAAGTAGAAAGAAGAAAATTGAAGCGTGGAATTTCAAAAGCTTTCATTTTATTGAGGTTGATTTTATTACAAAATTTTGGACCAGGTTATAGATGTTTTGGCCAAATAAATAACCCCAGAATAATCAAGATTTCTAAATTTCAGTTCAAGCGATGTCAAGCTGCATAATAGATTTTCAAGTATCGCCCGTTGATCGGCAACATGGGTCTTTCGCCCCGGAAATCCACAAACTGGTAGACTCCCCCTGAATAGACTTTCTCCACTGTAAATGGTCCTCTTAAGTTGGCTCCAATTTCCTACCTATCTTGCGGCGTGCAAGAATAGGTCTTTTGAGAACGAGAATGAGGTCGCCAACTTTGAACGTCCTTGGGCGGACCAACTTGTCATGAGTTTGTACCATTCTCGCCTGGTAAAGCTATAAATGCTGTTGTGCTTCTAGTCGCTTTCCCTCGAGACTTTCCAATTCTTCAAGTCTAAGCTTCGCACATTCTTCTGTTGTGAGCTGATTAGCGACAACGACTCTGAGAGACGGTGTCTGAGCTTCTAGCGGTAGCACGACTTCGACCCGTACGCGAGAGCGTAGGGTGTGCACTGAGTGGGAGTTTTGAATGTTGTCCGGTAGGCCCACAAAGTTTCTAACAATTTGTTATGCCAATCTTTTTTATTTTCTTCTAGTGTTTTCTTCAAAATCTGTACCAATGTTTTGTTGGAGGTCTCGGCTAGACCATTTGCCCTGGGATAGTAAATTGTTGAATATCTCCAATCTATCTCGTGTCGTTTGTCTCGCCTGGTAAAGCTATAAATGCTGTTGTGCTTCTAGTCGCTTTCCCTCGAGACTTTCCAATTCTTCAAGTCTAAGCTTCGCACATTCTTCTGTTGTGAGCTGATTAGCGACAACGACTCTGAGAGACGGTGTCTGAGCTTCTAGCGGTAGCACGACTTCGACCCGTACGCGAGAGCGTAGGGTGTGCACTGAGTGGGAGTTTTGAATGTTGTCCGGTAGGCCCACAAAGTTTCTAACAATTTGTTATGCCAATCTTTTTTATTTTCTTCTAGTGTTTTCTTCAAAATCTGTACCAATGTTTTGTTGGAGGTCTCGGCTAGACCATTTGCCCTGGGATAGTAAATTGTTGAATATCTCCAATCTATCTCGTGTCGTTTGGCAAAGTTGTTGATTTTGGTGCTTCTGAACGTTGTCTCATTGTTGGAGATTACTCTGTGCGGTACACCGAAACGGTAAACAATCTGACTTTTGAAAAACTGAAGGACCTGCTGTGCTGTAACCTCTCGTAACGGCACTGCCTCTGCCCATTTAGATAAGTAATCCGTAGCTGCGAGGATAAATTTGTGTCCCTTAGAGGTGGAGGGTCTATCGGACCTATTATGTCCGTGCCCCAACACTCGAATGACCACGAAACAACGGTTGAGTGTAGCACATTCGGGAGTTGGTGTAAGACCACCCCATGCACTTGACACTTGTGACACTGTCTGGCTGTGTACACGCAATCAGACATCATTGCTGACCAATAATATCTGAGTCTCTTAATCTTCATTTTCATCTTGGGCCTTGACTGGTGAGCGCCACACAATCCGACATGTACTTCTTTGACAATATTCTATGCTTCGGGTCTGCTGAGACACCGTAACCACATTTGATCGAACGATCTCCTGTAGAGAACGTCCTCAACTAGGGCATACGACATAGCTTTTCTCGTGATCTGATATGCTGTTGACTTGTTCTCTGACAACCTTCCAGTTTGCAAATATTCTATAAATGATTTACGCCAATCTTCGTTGATATCGACAACTACATTTATCGTTTCTTTTTCTTTCCCGAACTTGTGTAGAGTTTCAAGGTCGATCTGAGATAAAACCTGCCTTCCTTGTACTGTGGTTTCTATAGAATTCTCCGGGGAACATGCCAATTCCTTAGCGAGTTTTGCTAGAGCGTCGGCATGGGTATTATCTCCCCAAAGAATCCGATAGAAAGTCACATAGGGAATATGCTCCAGCAGCTTCGTTGCATACTGATGGTATTCTGCTAACCATGATTTCAAGATCTTGTGTTGTCCGGCGACTTGCTGAAGGATAAGCTGAGAGTCACCGTAAATGACGATATCTGTTATATCTATTGAAACTATCAATTCTAATCCGGTGATCAAGACTTCATACTCAACTTTGTTGTTTGTGCACGGCTCTGTTATGTGATATGAGAATCTCAGATACCCTTATCTGGCATGATGAAGACCAAAACACAAAACAAAGTGTAAATTTTATGTTGAGGCTTTAATTTGGAGCAAATACAATGAACCACAAAACAATCGCTACGAGATTATGAAATATAAATGGAACACTTAAAATTTTTGTGTATGGATGGAATGAAGCCTATGTCCACGAGAGAGAGGAGGAGGTCTGATCTACTCAACACAAAAGCACAAATGCAATTACAATAATTGACACTCATCAACACTTTACCAAATCCCAACTAAAACTCACTCACCCTAGAACTCACTCATCAAATAAGGAGCTCAAAGAAACTTCTACGTACATGATTACATCTCAACAAGATAAGGACGCCAGAACCCTTGTTGCTGTTGCTCGATAATATTGAAATCCTACATCCGCTATCGAGAAAGAATTTAAACGAATACCTTTTTCTACTTGCATTTACATCAAGAAATCCTAGCTGAGAGGCTTTGTCTTCCTTTCACAATTTCTTATGATACTATAACCAAAGTGCATTAGTTTAATTTCAAAAGCTGAAGTCAAGATCTCTTTTTGGAGCCATCTAGGCAAAGGAATAATAAATACAACCCTAGCAATATTTATAAATTCCAAGTTATTTTACTTGGTATGAATAGCTCCACGTGCAGGAATAAACATAGATTTTGAGAGTAGAGCTCCTTGAGAAATTCCTGAAGTTGTACAGATCAACATGAGCCGAGGTGAGTGTTATTCTCTAGGCAATTCTCTGCATATTGTTTTGTATGAATTAAGAAATTGATCTTATCCATCCGATCAATCTCAATGTGATCCTAATTTCAAATTATGGATTATCTGAGTTTGAGAATTTAGATCACATGCAATGTTTTTTGGATTTGATGCAATACTTTGCACCAAAAACAATAATATTTAGTCAAAATACTTAACAGAAATCAACCAAAATAAATTTGAACGCAAGAGTCAAATTCTTCCTGTAACTATATTGTTTTAAAAAAGGGAACTATAGAAAACTGTCTTTTCCATGATGGGAACTGTGTGTAGAAAGCTGCCACTTGCCACTTGCCACTTGCCACTTGCCACTTTCCACTTGGTTTAGCAGTATTGCCTTTGGCCTTCAAAGCGAAGGTCAAAGGTTTTAATCCTTGTAAAAGAAGGAATGCCAGCTTAATGAAATAATGTAAATGGCAAAATGTTTGGAAGGATGGCTTAGTAATGAGGTTTTGGTGAGCTAATGAAGCTTCTTATGACTGTTTATAACTAGGAGTGGGACTTGCGGGGCTATCTCTATCACCAACTACTCCTAACCCTGGCATAGGGAGGGAGAAAGTAAATAAAAGATGCTACATTGGCGAAAGTTGTAAAATAGAATTCTGACATTTCACACCTCATTTTGCTTAAAAAGCACTTTTGGTGCAAAGAATTCTGATATTTCACCTCATATGTGAATTATGCATGTTATAAAAGAACTCGACTACTATAAATGCTAAACATTATTGACAATAAATTGATGAACGCTAATCAGTAAATAAATAGTGTAATTACGGTGAATCCTTATTTTTAAGTACAAAATTAAATTTTCATTGTTGGATTGGGCAGAATTTATTTATTCATATTCGTGTGCTATTATTTCCTTCAGATTCTAGGTACCTTTTTGAAGGTCACTTGACTGTCGAGCCTGAACCAGCACCACCAGCATGGCTTGTGGCCCAAAATCTACTTACAACTCTTGCTGTAGCACAAGATTGGACTGCCACTGCTGAATCTTCACAGGTTCAGGAAGAGAACAACAATACAACTGAAAGTAGTACAGTGGCTGGGCTTCCTGCGACTGTCAGAGAGTTAATGAGTAATTTGCAAGAGATAAATGGCTTTCTTGATCTTGAAAATGTTATTGAAGCTTCATTGCAGGTTAGATCATGCGCTGTTTAATTGTTTTCTCTTATTTTTATCACCAAACTACATTTGTGAAGATGAGTGGCTTTCAATTTGGGATTAGTATATATGAAACGGCTACATTTGTGAAGATGAGTGGCTTTCAATTGGGGATCAGTATATATGAAACGTTTATCACATGTATTTATTTAGCCCAATTTTGAAACTACCGAAGTACTTCGCTCATTAAGCTTCCAAAGCGAATCAGAGCTCAAACTTGGGATTCTCCACTTTTTTCGTCATATCAAGCACGTATCTTCTGGAAGATTTTTGATAAAGATATTTTGTGACGTAGAGCACTTTTGTTTATGTTCTAGCTGGTATTCTAAATTTTTTGGCTCCATATATCACCATTAGACTTCTCCCAAGTCCGAACTATTTTGAACTGGTTTCATGGATCTTCATTTTCTATTTGGCCTTATAGAATGCTACATAATATCCTAAACAAACTACTTATTTTAAGTTTAAGATTTTTTATTTTCTTACTTTTATTTTTTTTATGAAACTTCTTTCATAATTGTTTGCCCAAACGTGTAATATTTTTTTCTAATTGCCAGTGTTTGGACATACAAAAGTGAGCATGGCTTTTACAATTGACGTTTATTAGTTTTATTGGCGGAAATTAAGTACACATTGCATCAAACAAACCTGTATTACTTATCATCGTAATGCATGGGCAAGAAATCTCATTGCATCACACAAACTAGTATTACTTATCATTGTAATGCATGGACAAGAAATCTGGGATTTTTGAGGCACCTGTTCACCACTCATGAGTAAGATATCTTAGGTTGACTAATTATCATCTTATTAGAAAACTATCTTCATAAAAAAGCTTATAAAATTTAGATGCGGTGAGTTTTGTTAGCTCAGTCTCACTAGGCACAATTATTATTAGTATTATTGTTAAATTATTCATCTACCTTCAATTTCTAGAGAGTGTACTTGTCCTGTTATTTTAGCCTATGCAAGTGTTTAATCATAACATCTTTTATTGTTATCTGTGATAGAAATCTTTTCTGTTTTCTAATTTTATTTAAATTAACTCTATTTATCCTATTGATGCATTTTTCATGCCGTTTATACACTCTTTAATGTTTTATTAAATTATCTAAGTTAATTATCTACAATAGGTGCTATTTGGTCAAGCTTCATTCATTTAGGATTGTTTTATGCACATTCTCTGTCTTTTCATTTGTTGCCACATGGAAATGACTAATCAACCAACTGCTGTACTTTCAGACCAATGAACCTGCTGTTATACACTTTCTATTTTGTTTTGGTTAGTTGGATTGGTAGGGCTATAGATTATGAGCACGAGCAATTTTATAGGCATACCACATTTATTTCGCATAGATGCGCAATAGACAAGGCTCTTTGGTTCTTACTTTTTCCTTAATTCTTGGAAACTCCTTGAAAATATGACTTATTTTCATTTCATATGCAAATTTCACATAATCCATTACCATTTTAGCTAGGTTAGAAATTTAACTCTTTTTCTACTTCTAATTTAGGTTTAAGCTCTTATTTTTTTAGTAGATGCTTCTATTGTAGAACATGTGCCTGAGAATGCATAGATAATTGGGACTAATGAAACCGATCTCAAATAGTTGGCATGAAGGTGATAATGATTAATAAAGCCTCTGCTCAAGGTGTTTATTGATGTAATTTTCTACCATTTCATGTGAATGTTGTTTGTAACCTATATAAGTATTACTATCCATTTGGCCAGTTTTTTTTTTTTTTTTTTTTGACTCCACTTCTAGTCAGATATGAGACCTAAAAAAGGCTGGACAATTCAGCTAGACATTTTTTTTTTGCCAACGTCTATCTTGATTTTACTAATCAAGCTGTTTGGATTGTCACAAAACATATACAACATTTCAAAATTCTCTAATAGATTCATTATAATTAATATTAAAGTATGCATAATTTATATTATTAAATTGAACTAGAAAGCTTATGGGAAATTTCATAGAAAATTTACACATACTAGAACTAAAATTTATATTGAATTAGATATATATTTATTTTTTTTAACATGCATTTAAAATTATACAACAAAATTTTAGGAATATAGGACAAAATTGGATTGACTATAATTCTACTTACTCTTTTTCATTGCCTGAAATAATAGTCAACGTAATATTTGATAAGCTAAAAACTCGATGGAATAAATATTCCCGTAGAACTTTCAAAATATTAGAAAAAAAAAAAAAGCTGGCTAATCTTTTGAATTGGCATGAGCATTACTACTTACAGACATAACTAGCTCTGTGCTAAAATTTTACATCAAAATATTCATTAATAATTCAATAAGTAAAGGATATAATCATATTGACACCAATTTAGGTGTTTGGAGGGTATTTAGGAAGGGGGTTTAGCGGGAAATCAATTGTGGAGAATTTTGGGCGATCGTGGAGAGGGATGTATGATGTTCAGTTACTGTCCTGACTGAAAAAGTATGAAAATCACGAAACAGTGTTGCATGGATGTCGAGGGGAAGTGTTCGCCGAAATTATGGCATGGATAACGATGAGGCAGCGAACCGGAACTGATAAAAACAGCTTTTCTGCTGCAAACATCATTTGGCTGTGAGTTAGACGACGAAGGAGGCCTCTGAGCATCCAGGACAGATCACCACCTTGATCCTATCAAGTTGTAGGCACACCGCCTGAAAGAAATATGAGGATATATCACTCCAATTGAGATAATAAGGAGAAAACATCTCCAAAATACATAAACCAATCTACGCCTGAAAGAAATATAATCACTCCAATTGAGATAATAAGGAGAAAACATCTCCAAAATACATAAACCAATCTAAAAGGCCTCTAAACAAGAAAATAACAATATGTATACATAGTTCTCTCACAGAAAACCTAATTAAAAAATGGAAAATTAGGAAAGAAAGCAGTAATTGAAGAAAGTAAAAAAAAATGCTGAAATAGGAAAATATCAGGCAGCTTGGCTGTCAATCCTGAGATCGCAGGAGCTCTTTAACAAATCTGTCACAAAAGCTGGCCTGCGGAATTCCCGCGCTCATATGAAATATATTCTTCAAATGTTAAAATATCTAATGCATTATGCTAGTCAATTTTTTATATTACAAAGTTATTTGTTTTACTTCCATTTTCTCATTTATATTGGTAATAGTTTTAGAAGTATCATATGATGTCTTTATTAGCTTTTTCATATCATTTGGTCGGCATCCAGTTTGAGAACCTCTCTGGGTTCCTACTCAGGCTCATTTCATCATAATTTTACTCTTAGCTGTGCAAATCATCATCATATGCCAACTTCTCTCACAAAATAATATTTACTTTTTTCTTGAACATCAAATTCTAAAGCATTTAAAATTTTTAAGCATGGATATACACATGTGATCAATCAACTTGCATTAACATGAAATGAAGATAAAATATAATATGCATTAACCAACATCTAGGTTTAAATATGCATCGTATTTTATTAAATAAAATTGAACTTGCTTATGTAGAAATATGATGAAGTCAGTTTGAACACAATAGTTTAATGTAACTGCAGTTATTTACAAATAGTAGTGCCAGGAAGAATTTGCTCTCTATATTAGAAATTCTGCGTCTCAACCTAATTATAGAATCCTCCTCGGGATGAATTTCTTTATTTCTACTAGAAACGTCATTCTGTTGTGCACTATCTGATAGAGATATCATTTTCCTCAATTTAAAAAATCCCTAATTATGAACACAAATCTATATCTCAATTATTCTCCAAATATATATATATATATATATATATATATAGTCTCAAAAGATTATTTTCTCATTCAAACTTCTAAGCTTAGTGGTCTGAATGCAAACTCGATTTTTAGAAGAGATCTCGAAATTTGGGATTTACTTTCTAATCTCTAGCCTTTCCTCCTTCCATCTTCTGCTCTTCTTTTCAATCTTCCTGTCCTCTGGTCTCTTTTTTTTTTTTTTTTTCCCTTTCCACTTCTTTCCTTCTGACGAGTTCACTACTCCAATACTTCTCTATTTTGGCTTTCTGTTAGGTACTGGAGGAAGGAAAACAGAAAAATGGAATAAGCTTAAATACTATTGATTTATATCATAATATGAGTTTCTTTTTTTTTTTTTTTTGTTTTTTTTAACTCATATCCTTACCTCATCCACAGTTGCATGTCACAGATTTGTGGGAAAATAAAATTGCTACCGTAACATTAGATGGATTTTTTACATTTTTGGCATTACACCATATTCTCCTCTTTTGTCATGTCTTTTGTTTTTTTACTTTTTTTAATCTTTTTCCTCTTTATGCCATGTTAATCTCACATTTTAGTAGGTGTAAGGTTTTCTTGATCAGCTGCTATAAATAATAACTTGCGCTGAATGGAACGGTGCTAATAGTTACTGTAAATTTCTCCACACCGTATAATAAATATTTCAGGAAATTGGTGCTGGAACGCACAGAGCGCCCCCTGCCTCGAAAGAAGTTGTTGCTGGTCTCCCCGTTATTGATGTTACTGAGGAAGTGATTGCTCGGTTGGGAACTGAGTCTGAGTGCGCTGTCTGCAGGGATAACTTGGTTCTTAATGACAAAATGCAGGAACTTCCCTGCAAACATCTCTTTCACCCTCCTTGTTTGAAGCCCTGGCTGGTATTATTCTACTTCTCTTCACGCTACTTCATTTTTAGTTTGGTTTTTATACCATTGGAAGTTTTTCATACATACCACTCACTTCCTATGTATTTACATACCTAACATAAACTTCAATTTTGCATATATGCCACCTTACCTTCATTTTTTAAAACTTAAAGTGGTGTTATTTTATATGTGATGAACGATTTAGGTGGTATAAATATAAAAAAAGTATAATTTTGTTAAGTATAATTTAGGTGCTAGGTATTTAAAATATGTGGGAATTCCGTCGTATGTATGTAAACTCTCCTTAATCTATGTAACCATCTTCAGCAAAATATAACACATAATACCAGTTGCACTCCAATACTTGCAATATATATATATATATATATATATATATATATATATTTAAAAGTGAAATCGATATTTGGTCCAGTGGGCACCAAATATCGATGGACCAAATATCGATTCCCCAGATGGGTTGAAACCCCGGTGT